TGTGTGGGAGCTTATGATGATGTAAGTAAAACTCAATCCAAAGCCTATGAAAGGAAATTCACAGCAAAATTTGCATGACAGGCTCCAGCTGGGAGCATCAGCCTGCTGTCCAATGCTGAGGGCCCGGTGTTCTCACTGCACTGTGCCTGCATGCACTCTGCAAGCATGCATGGGGCTTGGGTCCTCCACAGGGGCTTCAGCCTTCCTAGGCAGGCCTTTGCTTTCAGACCTACAGGATTTATATCCAAAGAAATGGTACAAATGAAATGAGAACAGTCTCTCTTCTTTGCCATATTACTCTCCCTGAAAGAGCAATTGGCTGAAAAGGTCGAGCTCACAAATTTCGATCACGATCCTGTCTTGACCTAAAAGAGACTCTGCAGAAAGCGTTTTCCTTTTTCATGCTTATTTTCATGAATGCATCTCTAACTTGCCTGAAAGCATTCTGAGGGTAGGATAATGCTATGTATCCTCATCTGTAGCATCCACTTGCTCACCACATCGCTTAGTCAACAAATACAAAAGGGATGGTCTCAGCCATTGGTCCATATCATTAAACTTCCCTATCCTTTTCCTCTAGCTGGGGGAGCATAAGAAATAACCAAATGGCTAAAGCTTTTTCTTCTAAAATATCTGCTTCTGCAAAATGGCATGCGCAGGCTTCTTGTTTGCTGTATTTGAACTCTTCCTTCTCATCTGAACCACTTTATTGACATTGAGGCTAAGATTTAGGGTCAAAGAATCATTAAATGGTTTAGCTGATGTTTCAGAACCAGCATCCACTCTATTAAGAGCCCCAAGAATCAGAGAATCTGGCCTGATACTCTTGATTCTCATGAACATAGGCAGCAGAGCCATATACTCACCTTCCATCTCCCTCCCTCAACCAAAGGTATGGGACTATGGAAACAACCTCACAGCTGACTGGAGAGAGGAGGTCATGGACTCATTTAATACTGGATTAAAGGAGGAGGTGAATATGAAGCAGTTTCTTCTTAGCCAACAGGTGCTCATTTCTGTTAAGAAATGGAGTAAGCTGAATTTTGCAATATTGCAAAGTTATAGACAATTGCTTTCTTTCGAAAGCTAGAATTCCTATCAGAACTTATTGTCTCTGCCCCTTGGGAAGGTGGTGACTCAAAAGGAGCAGCTTCCATTTACTGAATGTCACAGACGCTATTAGGAGCCCATACTTTAGAAACAGATGCGTGCTTCTGAATCCCTGCCTGCCGCTGACAGGCAGTGCAATCCCTGAGCCTCGGGTTTCTCAACTGTAAAATGGGGCTACGAATAACCTACTTTAGGAGGAGGTATTGTAGGGCTTGGAGAACTACTGCATGTAAAATGCTCTAGGCAGGCTGTGATGTTTCAGCTTCTCCTGTCAGCACTGTGTACTGCACTGTGCCGGGGGTTAGATACAGCTGCATTTAATTTCTGCATTAAGTAGCTACTATTATCACCACACTTGACAGAAGAAGAAACTGAGGCTAAGAAAGATTTAGTGACTTGCCCAAGGACAGACAGTAAACAGTGGCAAAAATCAAAGCCAGGCCTATCTGATTCTAACCCTGTGCACTTCCTGCTACCTCACACTGCTTCCTGGAAGGCTGTATGCGCGCACACATGCACACGCACACACACACACACACACACACACACCCTACAATACCATTTCCTATCAGAATTAGAAAGGCATGCTTATAACTGGAACACAGAAAAAGATGTGAACCTCATTATCTACGGATTACAAGTATCTCTCAATCAAGCTGTTTCCTTCTTGAGTACAAGGACTATATTTTTGCATCTTCCCTAAAGAATAGAGCACACAGTTCTGAACACACAATAGACACTCAATTAATACTCTCTGGATTTACATGGAAATTCACGTAGGAAAGTGGAACCGTTGCCCTGATTCAGAATACTTGATCAAACAACCCAAATACACCATGAATTCCCTAAAGCATCGAAAGAGTTGCCTAACACAAAGCATGTTTTCTGGAGACAATGAGAGTTTTGATCTCAAGCTAAACATTTCAAATCTCATCAAAAACAGTGGGTGAGTGGAAACAATTCACGCCAGGTCTCCAGGTGGAATTAGGGGAAAGGCCTCCCATGTGACCGCTATAAAAACTAATTTGAAAAGAATACAATCTTAGGCTTGTGTTTGTTTTTTTTCCCCAAGTGTTAGGCGGGGTACTGCAATCTTGTTATTTCTGAGTACCACCAAACATTCTAAATCCCTTTCTCCATCTGAGGACAAGTGAGGATTATGGGCCCCAGCCTCACTGCGTGGGTCTCTATGCAAAGATTTCCAAGCAGAGAAGCTTTGGGGTGGGGGAGGTATGCCTATGGCCCAAAGCAAATGGGGAGGGGAATGAATGAAAAGAAACTGCATACAAACTGATTTATTTCGAGGAACTTTTAGCCCAGATTTTTTTGGCATGTCTATATTTGCTGATTTCTGCGTATGGTAGAGCCTCAACATGCATTTTTATCTCTTCCTGATTTAGAGGTAAGTGGTACAGCAGAGAGGCAGGGATGGGCCTAGAAAGGGTTTGGAGGGCGATATTAAAGATGATGACGACAAAAGTAAAACTCCTGTGAACTCCTTAGTCATGCTGGAATGCAACTTGTTGTCTAGTCTGCGAGATAGATTGGGTTTGTTCTTATATGAAGAGTCTCTTGTGGTCTGGGGATAAGAGCAGAGTCTAAGATTTAAGAATTCTGTACTGAAGTTCTCATTCTGCCACTTCCTAGAGCTTTCTGAGCTCTGGCAATGGACTCAACCTTGTTGAACTTTAGTCTTCTCATCTGTAAAATGGGAATAAGAATGATACACACTTCAAAGGAATATTGAGAAGATAATATGAGATGATGCCCATAAAAAGACTTAGTATTGTGGGCACCCAGCAAATGCTGGCTACCTCTGCTGTTCTTTCCATCATTTCTAGGAAGAATGCCCTGCTCTGGAGGCTGAGGCATGAGAATCATGCTTGAACCCGGGAGAGAGAGACTGCAGTGAGCCAAGATCACACCACTGCACTCCAGCCTGGGCAACAGAGTGAGACTCCATCACACACACAGAGAAGGTTGTCCTGTAAATGTATTCTTGTAAAGTATGCTGCATTTTCATCCACATGTAATGATGAATACTTAAAGAGTGCTACTCAGTGTATTTTGTAGCTAATTTCCAAAATAACCGGCGGGGAAAGCCGGACAGACGTTATTACCCTCGTGTTACAGGTGAGAAAACAGAGGCTTTGACAATGAGGGATCTACTGGAATTCATCAACCAGCAAAGGTCAGGCCAGGAATGCAGCTCACATCTGTCTCCAGCACTTCAACCACAGCTACGCTGCAGGAAACCAAAACACCCCAGAAGAGGGAACTCTAGTCTGCTCTGATCTAGCCTATTCATTTGTTGCTTGGGACCGAAGTGGATTTTGCAACCCTTGTAGGTTGTGACCTGCAGTTTGCAAAGCACCTGGGTCCCAATGCCAAGTGAAGGGTCTGTCACTTCAGAATAAGCTGGGGAGTTCTTTGCACTGATGCGTGTTTGATTTTTTACTGCTGGAATTTTCTTTTTTTTTTTTTGATTGCATTTTAGGTTTTGGGGTACATGTGAAGAACATGCAAGACTGTTGCATAGGTACACACATGGCAGCATGATGTGCTGCTTTCCTCCCCATTACCTATATCTGGCATAGAAATTTTCAAACATATGCAAAAGTAGAGATAAGAGTACTATAGTCCCCAGTGCTGATCTCCCAGATTCCTGGGATGAAGGCTGCTCTGTCTATACCTCTGGCCATTTCCTCCGCTCCCTGTTTTTTAAAGGAAATATTGGGGGGAGATTAAAACAATCCAGACTCCCCTATGCCTTGTAAACTCAGGTCTAGCAGGTCTGGGGTGGCTTGGGATTTGTGGTTCTCATGGCTGCCTCTCCAGGTGACATGGAAGGACAGCCACCCTGTAGCCACAGAGCTTGGTGGTACCTGAGGGCACTACCATTTGCAGGTGACAAGCAAGTGGGTTCTGGGAAGGAAAGTGGGCAAACCCTTCAGCTCTGCAGGCTTGCGAGGCTGTCACAGAAGACAGAGAGCCCTGCCACACACCCAGTGGCAGAGGCAGAAAGGGGTGAGACCACAGCGAGGAGGCTGGTCCCCTGAGCCTGTAACGAAGGCTGTCTCCAGAGAGGACACCCCCTGCTGCTGAGGGTCTGTGGCTGGGCCTCCGCCCAAATGACCTGCAGTGAGCCACTGACCAGCTTCCCGCTCACCTTTGTTTCCCCAGAGCATGGCACAGTAACTGTTGACTTGGGGGAGTTGTGTGAAACTGATGACATTTGACTGCTCCTGACCTTCTCAGTGTCACCTTTATGATTCCACCACAGATCTAGTAGGCATTCAATACACGTCCAATGAAGGAATCAACACAGACAGGTTATCAGGGCTCTCACATGCCAGCTGCCAAGTTAGTATTTCTAGTTGACCCAACCATGGTGCAAGGTGGCTATGACATCTCCAATCTATAGCTGAGGAAACTGAGCTAATGTATGTAAACCAAGTGTTTAGCACAGCACCGGGTGCTCACTGTGTGGCAACAATCATCATTATTATCCAAAGCCAGACAGAGCCCCGGCAACTGAGTTAGGACTTGAACCCAGGCCTGCCGGCTCCAGTCAGCCTGCCTTGCAGTGTCTGTCCTGGAAGAGCAGTAACCAGAAGCCATGAAAGATGATCAGTGTCAACAGGGGTACAAAAACTCAGACCACTTGGCAAGTCCCAGACAATGTGTCATTTCACAGTGAGGGGCAGGGCTGAGGGAGCTGGTCTAGAAGATTCTCACGGTGCACTGCAATATTTCACGGACACAGGGTGGCCTGCAGCTGCCTGTCTTGCTGGTGGCCTCACCTGCACACAGTGAAAGCCAGCAAGATTTTGCCGGGCAGACCCTCAGAGGCCGGAGGGCTCTGCTGAGGAGGGGCGGCTGCATCTTACCTCTTGGCTCTGTCTTTCTCATCTTCATCCATTAGATTTTCTATGCAGTTTTTCCTGCAAAAGACATTTTAAAAGAATGGATAATTACTGTCTGCTCTAGATCTTTCTTAAAAGTCTTTCAGTTTGTCATCATTTTGGTCTTAGCCCAGCAGTTCTCAAACCTGATCCCGGCACCCCTTTACACTCTCAAAACGGACCGAGGTCTCCAAAGCACTCCTGTGCACATGGGTTAAAGCTGAGAAATGTTTAAATGCACAGGCACTCATCAGGCATTGGAGCAATGAAGTCAGCAGATATCAAGTAACTTCTGGAAAACTCAGAACACTCATATTCTGCACACTCCTGAGACAAGGAGAGCTCTTTTAAAAGGAGCAAATAATGAGTTAATGATATTTTGAAAACAATGACTTGACTTCGAGGACCCCAGGGGTCTCCAGACCACACTTTGAGAACTGTTGTCCAGACCTGCTCAGTGAAGCAGCATCTGTTCATCTCATGCCTTAGGTCACAGGCACTTCCCAGCACCCGCCTAGGATCTATTAACGACGCTGCAGCAGGACCCATTCACTTCTGCCTGCAGGACCCCAGTGGCCTATGACATCGTAAAGGAGAGCATTTCTTTATCTGTCCATTCAAACCACACAAGCTCCTCTGACAGGTGGCCTGGAGGAATCGGCCCCAAAGGAGTGTAATCTACAGTTCCTCCTTTAAGGCATTTACTTTGCTTGAGACAGCGAAAGCACACAGATGTGAAAGATTAAGTAACAGTCCAGGAATGTTCTTCCTCACCGCCTGAGCCTCTACTCTCCCAAGACACCGGCTGGATGCCTCTCAGGCCCACGGATCCAGCTTCCTCTCTCACCGCATGCAGGCCTGGCTTCCCTCTACCCCTCAGAGCTGCACAGCCCTGGTTCCTTTCTTCATTCACACATTTCCCAGAGCCCTGCCTTTCTGGGGTGTGCCCCCCAAATCAGTACACCAAGCAGAACCATTCTCAGAGTGCTCATGAGGCTGATGCCAGCTGTGGGAGTGGGAGGCTGAAGGCTGTGGTGGCTGGGAGGGCAGAGCGTGGTCGAGGTAAGGGTGAGGACCATGGAGAAGCTGAATCACCACTGCCCACACGCCACTATGCTCAACGCACAGGGTCTTCAGTCGGCACTTCCAAACCAGCCCTTTGCAAATGCACCACCAATTACTCTTGAAACTTGAAGTTTCAGATAAAAATTTTCAATGGGGCCAATCAATCTTTCTCTGAGCTCATTTAGTTTTTTTATTTTGGTCACCTATGTATACAAACATGGGTCTCAGCCAAAGCAAAGATGAATTCTGCAGCCACAGTCCCTGTTTACATAATGCCCATGCAGTCAACAGCAGGCATAGTCCATGATGGACTAGCAAGAAATGCTGCTTAGAAGTTGAGGCCTGTATCCCAATTGAGTCAGAGTTAACACATCTGCAAACAGGCCGGTGCTTAATGTTTTCCAGATGGAATCCATTCAAAGTTTTATGTCAGTTCATTGAATGATGCCCTACCCCAAGCCTGTGCTTCCAAGGAGAATGGTGGCTTCCCAAGGCCCTAGGGTATGAGTGAGGACCCAGCGGCCCTGTGTTCTTTATCAGGACCCCCTGGACAGAGCCTGTCCACAGGAGGGCTGGCTGCTGTTCTCAGTCTACTCTCCTGAGCTCCTGGGATCCTGTTTGGATGACCAGGGTGGCTGAGTCACAAACTAAACATCTAAAAATGACTAATAGCTACTCTTTATCAACCACATCTTCTTTGATTTATATGTTTAGCCTTCAGACATTTCCTGAATCTATAAAACCTGGATGCTCTACACCCATTTCCTCTTCTTCAGCATCCCTCTCATTTCCCTGCCCTGTTCCTCTCACTTGACCCCTGACTAACCAATTAAACTGAACGCACCCAGTGTGAGGAGAAGGCCCCTAAACTGAGTTCCAATTGCACCTGCCACAGAAGCTCTGTGCTGATAGTTTTACATTTTGTCACCTCTGTGTCTACCATGTTATTTTTTTATTTAAAAATACACCTCACAGGCTGGGCTCAGTGGCTCACGCCTGTACTCCCAGAACTTTGGGAGGCCGAGGTGGGCAGATCACGAGGTCAGGAGATTGAGACCATCCTGGCCAACATGGTGAAACCCCGTCTCTACTAAAATACAAAAAAAAATTAGCCAGGTGTGGTGGCACATGCTTGTAGTCCCAGCCACTCAGGAGGCTGAGGCAGGAGAATTGCTTGAACCTCGGTGGCAGAGGATGCTGTGAGCCTAGATTGTACCACCTGCACTGCAGCCGGGGTGACAGAGCAAGACTCCATCTCAAAAAAAAAAACACGCCTCACAAATTTACCATCTTAACCACTGTAAGCGCACAGCTCAGTGGCATTAAGTACATTCATACTGTTGTGCAACCATCACCATCATCCATTCCAGATCTCTCTGAACTTGCAAAGCGTAAACCATCATTAAACAAGAAGTCCCCATTCCCCACTCACTCCAGGCTTGGCAACTGCCCTTCTACTTTCTGTCTCTATAAATTTGACTATTCCAGGTCTGTCATGGAAGTGGAACCATACAGTGTTTGGCTTATTTCACACAGCATTATGTCGTCAGGCTTCATCCATGTTGCTGCATGGGTCAGAATCTCCCTCCCTTTTAAGGCCGAGCGATAGCACATTGTATGCAAACTCAGTGTTTTGCTTGCCCACTCATCTGTCCATGGACACGAGCCACTTCCACCTTGGCCACTGTGAGTGTGGGTGTCCTTCCCCCTTGTGTTTTAGAGTCACCCTTTTACTTAATAGGGAAGATTTGGAAACGGCTTGAAGGCAAACAAGGAACAGAAAGGAAGGGAAGAGAAGTCCTCTGAAGTCAGGTTAAAGGAATCACAAAGAAGTTTAGAGGGTGACAACGACTCTTCTTGACGATATAGAGTTTTCAGTGAGAAGGATTTTGAGCAACTGTTTTTTTTTTTCATTTGACCACAGAGTGCTAGAAAACAGGAAAGGAGCTTAATTGAAAGCAGAGGAGATTTTGTTTGGAGCTGAGACATAATGGTTGAGGTGATTAACCCCCGGAGTGAACAGTGGAGAGATGCCATAGTCTTTTCCCCAGATAATCACGTGTCCTACGTGGAGTAGACAGTCACAAGGTGTCTGAACCAGGGTCCCAACAGGGAAACAGACTGCGGTTGGGATCCTCTGAGGAGTATTGATTTACGGGAGGCTCTTTATAAAGGTGTGAGCAGGGAGTAGGGAACCAAGTGGGACAGTGCAGTGGGGAATGGCAGAGCTGTGAACACTCTAAGGGGAAGGGACAAGAAGGAAATGATTTCCCAAACCTGGAAGGAGTGTGTCCCATAGGAGGCGACCTTCAGTGAAGGAACAAGGAGGGAGCCAAGGGAATAAACACCTCACTCATTCTCCACCCACCCTCCAATCTCCTGCTGCGTCTCCTTTAGCCATGTCTGCAGGATCCTCCACACAGGGGAGCCTCAGGGTCACATGCCTGGTGACAACCATCTCTCAGGCGCTCTTCCAGTTCTGAGTTTCTTGGGTTTTCCTAGAACACAAACTCTCTGGAATCTTTTTAAGCTTTGTAACATCTCCTCAAGTTTGAAAACCAGGCATCTGCACCTAGCAAATGACCACACAAGAAATGATCATAATAACAATAACTATGGAAGCCTGAAGAAAAGAGAGGCTGAGAGGGGTTCCCAGAACAACTTGAGCAACAAAACAAGTGACAACTGTATTGATTACAGCCTGTGTATTGATTAGTACAAACTAAATACTCATGAGTCTAGACGGACACAAATAAACAAATGGGGAGGTAGAAGGAGGGAGGAGACAGCTTCACCTTACAGAAGATTCCAATTAACACATGTAGAAGGAATGAAGGCAACAGAAAATCACCATCATGGCTCATGCCTGTAATCCCAGCTTTTAGGGAGGCAGAGGCGGGAGGATAGTTTGAGCCCAGGAGTTTGAGACCTTCCTGGGCAATATAGTGAGACTCTGTTCTCTACAAAAAGGAAAAAAAAAAAAGAAAAAAGAAACGAAAAGAAAGGAAAGGAAAGGAAGAGAAAATCACCATCAGTATACTATAGTAATCATTGTTTCCGGCAAGATCCACCAATGGATGCTAAAATTAATGGAAAAAAGGTTGGGGAGAAACAGGATATTTGCAGAGTTTCAAATTATCTCCCTCAAGATATTTATTAATTACAAAAGAAAACCATTTTACAGGAAAGAGGGTTAGCAGACACCACTTTCACCTACTGGTCAACATGAACATCACCAGTGTTAAGTCACATAGAAGTCTCTGTGGAAATAAGCACTCATTCCTCTTGGGTGTGTACAACTCGGAGTACCATTCTTGGAACATGGGGCAGCTGTATGCTTACTTTACTAACAACAGCCAGGCTGTTTTCCAAAGTGACTGTACAATTTTATATTTGCACCAGTAGTGTACAGGAGTTCTAGTGGCTCCATTCTAACATTTAGTATTGACTTCTTAATTTTACTAATTTTCGTGGGTGTGTTATGAGATCTCATTGGGATTTGTGTTTCCCTGATGACTAATGATGCAGAGCACTTTTCACTGGCTATTTAGGTGTCTAATTCTTTTGCCTACTTAAAAAAATTGGGCTGTTAGTCTCCATCATACGGATCATAGAAGTTTCTCTCTACTGAGTACAAGTACTTTGTCAGAAAATACGTATTGCAAACATTTTCTCCCAGTCTGTGGATGGCCTTGGTGCTTTTTGGGTGGTATTTGTGATGAGCAGTTTCAAATTTTGATAAAGTTGAATTTATCAACTTTTATTTTATGGTTAGTGATTTTTGTATTCTAAAATATATTTGCCGCTTCAATGTGGTTAAGAATTATCCTGTTTTCCTCTAGAAGCTCCATCACTTAACTTTCACATTTGGATCCCTGATGTGATCAAACAGTCCATTGCAAGTTAAATTTTATGTGTGGTATAAAATAGGGGTCAGACATTATCCCCACCTCCCTCCAATATGGACATCCAGT